GGCTTCCTCTACACCGCAACTCTAGTAGATAGCATCGCAACCCTTTTGCTATGCGGCGCATCACCATTTCTGTAGTTGAGGCAGTCACAGTGATTCAAACCCCAAACAACATGGATAGCAAAATAACTGAATGATCGCTGATGTAGGTTCTCATGATCAACATCTTCTGATAAACATACACAGAAATTGCTTCTGTTTTATCTATACTTTTATTTTTGATAGCAAGGTAAAATATTTCCATACATAGTGCTATTGCAATAATGCAATATCGTATTGTGACCCAGGTATCGTGACATGTATCATATCCCTACAAACATGCCAACATTCCCTGCTGATTGAAATATCAAAGTATGTTTAAACTTTAAATCACAGTTGCTGATTAAAATAATATTTTTATATATATTCATAATTCATTATTATCCACCCTTGGTTTAGGGTACAGCATCATCTTTGGAAGAAAGTTTTTTGTTTTTACTAGATGCAGAGGGATAAAACACTGCTATATGTCCATAAATGTCTAAATAAATAAAAAAAACTGTTTTTGTGAGCTATCTTAATGGTAAAAACGAACATATTTGAGAGGGCCTCAATCAGTAGCACATTGCAAGCGGGTTCAGCCTCATTATTCATTCACAGTAAGCCCCATATTGGGTGGACGCTTTACCGCCCCTCCCACTGCCCTTCACCTCATTGATTTACTATTATACTTTCTCAAAGGTAAGGGAGAGTCCATTAAAAGGATCCGTCTATGTGTCTGTGCATAATGAAACTTGCAGCATGTGTCTAAGTCTGTGTGCATCCATGTGCGAGCTGATGGAAACCTTACATCTGCACTTGTGCGGCCATGAATCAGCAGCGCGTCACCTGTTAATGTGAAATCAATGTTCCAAATTAACCACAGGAACCCCGTCTGAGATTTTTCAACCCCTCTCTCTGGACAAGACATGCCCTTGGGTCGAGTGAGGGAAAAGAAAGCAACACGCTGCACTGTTCAGTAAAGGACATGGCAGATGTACAAACGCACAGGAAACAAAATGCAGAAATATATATTAGAAGTTGTCATTCACATAATGTATGCTTAATGCAGCACTACAAAGGTCCACCAGCCCCCACCGACTGTCTAATTCGCATAGTGCTGCATCCATTAAAATTAAGCCAAGGTATCCAGCTTAAGGCTGCTGCTGATAAGGTCAAAGGCATAGTGAGTATTGCAACACTCATTTCTCCCCCAACATAATCGCACCTACTCTTGACAAAAATCTGCATAATGTTTCATGTATTGCTGCTAGCCAGAGTGAACGAGGGGAGGTGTGAGGGAAGGGGGGGGGAGCCAGCGGCATATCCCTCAAAGTCAGAGCCAAATTGAATCTGCAGGTGCAAATGTGGCATGTGTGCTGTCTCTAAGATGCACAGCTATCTATATTTATATGAATAAAATATGGCTGGTCAAGGGGGGCACGAGCCTGCAGGGAATAAGTTCCTGCGGCAGACAGAATCAATCATTATATGCGACTGAAATGCGTTTATCGGGGGGGGCTTGGACCCCTTTATTATGATTTCATGGTGTCTGATATGAGCTTTCTCCTTCTGTTACTCTTCCTTAGCTAAAACAGGCAGAAGATCCGGCACTTCTGAATGTGACTTCTGCTTTGCTGATCCGTGAGAATTTATAACCCGACACAAGAGGCGAATGTGCAGGCGAATGCATCTATCTAAACGGAATCACGCATGCAACGGTCACTGCGGCTTCATCAATACCCAGCAGCTGATCCAGCACCTATTCATTAGCACGATGACGTGCCGTATGTGTCAAAGCGAATGCAGAACAGATGGAGATGCACAGCAGTGGACTTTTTAAATGTCCTCCTCCTTTGCTGGAAATTGAAGCTGCAGTATGAATGTCTCTATCATGTCTAGGCTCTGATGGAAATCTGCAAAAATCTACATTAATTGGCAGATAAAAGCATTGTGTGGATTTCTTTTTTTTTTTTTTAAGATGCATTAAACACTGCAACTATTCACTTATAGCTAAATCCTAAGCTGAAAAAAATGCAATGTAAATGTCAGTGGACACAAAGCAAGCATCACATCCCAGTCTGACCTTTGATGCAGAATAAAAGCAGCAAAATGTCACGGATGTTGCCATCAAAGCGCATTTTGATCCGCTGATCTTTTAGATTCAAGCTTCCTTCCTCCTCCTGATGATGATAATTTAGGCCCAGGGTCCTGTCGATCCTCCTGATTCCAAAACAACCATTTAATTCTGTGACTCTGCTGTTTCCTCTATTTTCCCAAGCAGCTGTGTTTGCTGTGAACAGAATGCTATGAGGCCAATCGCACTCAGCTGAACAATCTGATCTACCCTAGAAAAACATTTAATAAATATATTACACCGTTACTCAGAAGATCTGGTGAATTCTTCGTCATCTCTTGGAGGAACAAAAAAAAAATAGTCTGAATCAGATGGAATACAAAATCAAGCCTTAAAAAAAAAATATTCCCATCATATCCTTCCAGTATTTTAAAATGGCAATTAGCATGTCAAAGAATTATAAGAAAGACAAGCTTTTGCCTTTCCAATTCTGAAATCTAAAATAAAAAACTAAAATATTTTGCACGCTAAGCATGATTACAAGACGTTTCTTTCATAAAATATTTAATATATATCATATTTCTCAGTTCCCATCAGGAAATGTTACAAGAACACCCCCTGGAGTCTGAATTTCTACTTCATGGCAACCACCCAATGGCTGTAATCCAAGTTATCATCCCATATGGCTGCCACTTATATAAATTGCAAAAATATTAATAGATTAAAGGTATTAATTATCACTTCTGATGGATCATATTACATCAAACTATTTACATACACATGCATTGTGGAGGTCGTTCATATAAATTTACATAAACACAAAAGTCGATTGTTTTATTAAAAGCAGTAATAGTTAGCATCAAAATCACTTATTTTCAGACTTTTTCACTCCGGTGTGACATTTTCAAATTAAGAGCTTAGGCTTGTTCAACAAATCAAATGCACTCTAATTATTTTTTACATTGTAGAACAACACAAGTAGAGCAAGTAGAGCTAATTGGTTCACCTTTTTTTGATTATTTGGCCAGCATGCAGTCTGCTGCTTGACATAATCAGCGGCTTTTCCTTCTCAGGAGTGACAGCTTGGCTATTCCTTTGTTTGCACATTGGGAATATTTATTCTCCAGCAAAATAAACCTTTCTTGTAGTTGAGGGAAACATCTGATCAGAGGTGCCCAGTAACAACAGGGGCAGGGCTGCTGAGGTGCTACTCTGATCCAAACCAGAGAAAATCCTGGTCACTCTGACAAGACCTATTTAAATCACAGATAACGTTAAGAAGGTTAAAAATATATCTTAAAGCCAGCTGAGTGACAGTGCACAGCAATGATTGGAGGAGAACCAGCAAAGCTCTACTGAAAGCCCCATTCCGCCTAAAAAACTATGGATATTCTTTGGCTTCGACTTCGCAGTGAAAATCTGAATAATTGTTGCTCATTTGAAACTGTGGCTTATTTGAAACTTTTGTTAACCTTGAAAATGCAACAGGCAACAACAACAAAAAAACTGATAGATGGAAAAACAGTGATTGAATTGGTTTGCGCAATGGAAGGTTAAAGTCCTCAAACTCCACTTCAAACCAACTGTGGCATTCAGCTACCCACGCATACAAATACCCCTGTAGGGGACCTGCTGCCCTCTTGCCTATAGAGAGAAAAAATTTATATGGAACACCTACACAGAGTTACTGGTCATGCTCTTAAAGCCCCCCCCCCCCCCCCCCCCCCCCCCGCCCCCAAAAAAATATCCACTGTAGGCATAACACCTTGTCTCCCACCGCAGCTCTCTTCCCTTCACACACAGATCAATAGGCAATTCGCAAGCCTACTCACTTAAAGAGTATGACTTGTTTTGAGCATGTATTATTGATTTGTTTTGGCAAATGTGACAAAATTAATGAAGTAAACCCATTACTGTTTACCACTGTGGGAGCAGGGGGGGAGAGACATGCAACAATGCAAATGGGTGCTTTGGGGTTCAAAGAGTTTTTGATCCCAGTTTTTTGGGGGGTTTTATTCATGCAGGTCTTGAGAGTTCACCTCATAAATAGTTTGCTTGAAAGGGTAACTAAAAGTTGCATTTAAAAGAGGGCTGGTTGACATGTTTTCTGCATGCAAAATATGGCCTAGTGCACGAGTGGAGGTTATCCCAGCAAAGCATATAAAAGCTTCCGCCTTGGGTGAGTCATTTGCATTGTGTAGGCCAAGAATCGATTGAATTCACAACTGGGAATAAGCAAAAAAAAAAAAAGGGGGGGGGGGGGGTACTGTATATATCGTCCTTTTATTCCATATGTGTAATATTGAAAGCTTTCGGAGCAATATGACAGGCATCTAATAGAGGGTGTCATCCTGCTCCCTGTTTACCAACCAAATCCCTGAATGTGTGGGTGTACAAGGATGAGCAGGTGATCAGGTTCGTTGGTGATGGTGAGGGCTTCTCAGCTGCCGTGTTAATTACGTAAAAAGCCCAGAGATCCCACATGCCAGTGCGGCTGTGAAGGCAATCTGTTCAACGCTGTTGTGCTGACATTCTGAAATGTACTTTCTGCAGTTTATTTATTTACTTATCTGTTTATTTTGTGGGGTTTTTTTCAGGGTGATGATGGGAATGTGTCATTTTTTATATTGGCTCACTTGTATTTGACACGTCTTCAGTTGGTTTGACTTGTTTGCCTCGGCGCAGTCCGAATCTGCATCATGCACAGTTGCGCAAAAAAAAAAAAAAAAGCGCGTCTGGAGCGATGGGTTCGAGGACCGGCAGCCTGTCTAATTACTGCGCGCCTGTTTCCTGCCTGCTCCCAGCCTTATTCATCACTGCGCGTCTGTATGGAAATAAAAGATCCATCCTTTCTGAATTTCTGTAATAACTTGGTAAATGCGTCAGTGTGAAATGAGGGAAAACTTACCCGCTTTAATCATCGTCGCATCAACGCGGCGCGGTCTATATTCCCATCTCAATCGCAACAATGTAGGGTCGTTTTTACGCAGCTGATGGAAAAAAAAAATCACTTCTGTTTTCATCCGAGGAGGAAAAAAAATATGCAATCAAACGGGTTTCTTTCTATGAAAAAAAATGTTCCAAATAAGCAGGGAGGAATTGGGATACAGCTTCCTGCGTTTCCTTTGCCCTTCCCTTCAATGTCTTCGGAGCGCCCGATCAGAGCGCATCTCTTCCCTCGATCAAGTGTCAGGCGGACCACATAGATGCGCCGCCGTCTCCACGGCAGTCATTAATATGAGCGCAAAGCTACACCCGACTCTGTGGCACAAGCGGCCAATGGCGTCAAAGGAGCTGGACAGACTCCGAGCAGCATCCCCGCTCCGATTGGCTTAGCGCAGCCGTCAGTCATCTTCCCAGATCCTCGTTCTCTCGTCTGGGTCTGTCTTCTGATGGAGGTGAAGCCCGCTGCAAAAAATGTCGCTTATCCAAGTTATTCCAGGGAGCCTCTAAAATGGAGTTAGGGAATAAGAACTCGTAAAATAGCTGCATGTTGAAATGTTTCATATATATATATATATATATATATATATATATATATATATATATATATATATATATATATATATATATATATATATATATATATATATATATATATATATACGGAAGGGGATTATGGCCACTGAAAAAAAAACAGTTAACTGATTTTTAGATATTATTTCAGTTTAATATGGGTGAAATAAGTCAGAATTCTGACTTTAATCTCAGAATTCTGACTTTTTTTCTTAGAATTATTGACTTTAATCTCAGAATTCTGACTTTATCTCAGAATTTTGACTTTTATCTCAGAATTTTGACTTTTTTTCTAAGAATTCTGACAGAATTTTGACAGCCAACAAACATGTTAGCATCAAGCTGTAGCCATGTCTGTTTTAGAGACTAGCCATCTGGTTTAAACTCTAAAATGGAGTTTGGGAATAAGAACTCGTATGATAGCTGCATGTTGATTTGTTCCATATATGAAGAGGATTCGAGCCACTGGGGGAAAAAAAATTAACTGATTTTTAAATATTATTTCAGTTTATATGGGAAAAAATCTTAGAATTCTGACTTTTTCCTCAGAATTCTGACTTAAATCTCAGAATTCTGACTGACAACAAACATGTTATCATCAAGCTGTAGCCATGTCTGTTTTAGAGACTGGCTCTCTTGTTTCAATGACCAGCTGCTCTTCCATTAATGAAATAGCATCACCGCGGAACCCTCTGGAATGTAAAAAATTTCCTAATTTTTCACCAAGGTGTTACTGGCCCTCCAAAACAACTCACATCTTTGTCAGTGAAGCTGAGTGCTCCCACATCTCTTCCTTCATGGTGCCCATCTACATTAAGATCCAAAATTCTGAGATTAAAGTCAGAATTCTGAGAAAAAAAAAGTCAGAATTCTGAGAAAAAAAGTCAGAATTCTGAGAAAAAAAGTCAGAGTTCTGAGAGTAAAAGTCAGAATTATGAGATTAAAGTCAGAGTTCTGAGAAAAAGTCAGAATTATGAGATTAAAGTCAGAGTTCTGAGAAAAAAGTCAAAATTAAGAGATTAAAGTCAGAGTTCTGAGAAAAAAGTCAGAATTATGAGATTTAAGTCAGAGTTCTGAGAAAAAAGTCAGAATTATGAGATTAAAGTCAGAGTTCTGAGAAAAAAGTCAAAATTAAGAGATTTAAGTCAGAGTTCTGAGAAAAAAGTCAGAATTATGAGATTAAAGTCAGAGTTCTGAGAGAAAAGTCAAAATTATGAGATTGAAGTCAGAGTTCTGAGAAAAAGTCAGAATTATGAGAAAAAGTCAGAATTATGAGATTAAAGTCAGAATTCTTATTTTTTTCTGAAATAAAATTGGTAAAAACTGAAATAAAATTGATAATTTTTTTGTGGCCCTAATCCTCTTCCTGATATATATATATATATATATATATATATATATATATATATATATATATATATATATATATATATATATATATATATATATATATATATATATATATATATATATATATATATATTCCACCCTGTTTAGATATATTTTATACTGATTGGAAAAGGCCAACACAAAGTAGTCTATTGTAAGATTTTCCATGAATGATATCAAATTTTAGTTTTTATGAATATGCAAACAAGTGTGGTTCAAACCCCACAAACTGCGCCTCTAGTTCTCTGAGGTAGACCCTTAGCCCCAGCTGCCTACTGCCCCCTAGGAATGGGTTGAATGCAGACATCTGATTTTGCTGTAATCCATACATGTATATTTTTTTCAGGATCTGTTTTGGTTCGAATTCATTCATAGTCCAGTGCAAGGACTTTAATTTTCTTCACTTACACTAATAAAGTTTTTAATGTTTTTAAACTTGTTTTTCTAAGAGAAACAAATGTTCTTAGATTTGTCCAATAAGTATCTCCTTCCCATGGCATCCTCCCTTTCTTTACTTCCTTACTGACCTTTTGTGTTTTCTGTCTTGCATCTTTTTTCTCCTTTCTGGTGTCCCATCTTATTCTTTTCATCCTTCTTTCTTTCTTTGCATGCTTTCTTCCTAATTTTCTTTTCTTCCATTTCATCTCCTCATAGTTCCATATGTAGAAACACCTGCCATGAATACATTGGTAATTATAGTCTTTTATCTTTATGCAATAAATGTGGAAACCTCTAAAAATGGAGTGTATATATATATATATATATATATATATATATATATATATATATATATTGTTTAGCGCGAGATAGTATGTGTTCCAATTATAAATGGGAGGCTGTGTTTCTTTGTTTTCTTATTTTTCAATATAAAACCTCAATATGGCTGCCATGTAATGAAGAAAGTAATGGAATTACTTTTGGAATTTGGGTCTCTTTTTGATTTTAGATATGCCACACAATTTGTTTCCTTTTGGGGGACTCATTGAATTCTTTCAGTTTATACAATTATTCATATTGTTTTTTTCAGAAAATTGAGGCATTAGTCTAATATTCTTTGAAAAATAGCTCATCTGTTTAATATTAATTTATATCTGAAAATAAGTATTAAAAATAGAGTGCAATAGAAAGTCTTCAAATATAAGATATGAAACTTTGTTTTATAATTATGATAATCTTTTGAAGCCATCACCAGTAATTCGCCAAAATGTCTACCTAGTGAGAAAATGAACATGGATGACATAACTCTAATAAGAAAGCTAGAATAAAAAATTTACCAATTTGTTGCTTAATAAAATAGTAAAGTAAGTTTGGGGGTTAATCAGGACAATTATATCTTTGTTGAATTCCAGAACAGTTGAAGTGAAATCAACTTGTAGGAATAATTTTTTGTATTGAAGCGAATTTTCGTGTAAAACTTAGATTCTAAAGTTCATTGTAACTTAGACTGAATAAACCTGGATTTTGTTATTATCCATCCTGAGATAACTGTCAGTTGCATTTGGTTGTTTGAGGAGTTTGCTTTTGGACTTTGAAAACAAACTTAACTGAAATGCATGAATGTTTATTCACCCATTTTTATTCCCTGAATGCCTGCAGTGTTTACATTTGCAAACAAGATATTAAATCTGATGGATCCTGTGTTTGAGAACACAGAAGGTGCTGTAGTTCACAGCTTCCTAATAAATTATGCTGCTGTCTAATACAGTAAATGGGAAATTAATTGGCGTGCAGTGTGGTGAAAAAGTTTGATCGTTTTTTAATGTAAAAAAAAAAAATTCAGAGTTGCCTGGCCAAGTTTAAAAAATACAATTACCTTCTATCATAATAATCGTGATTAACATTTTTTGGGTTTCAATTGCACAGGCCACACCAGGCCTGATTACTGGCACTTAAACAGAACCTGTCAGACAACATGAAGTAGGCTAAAGGATGAGGGGAAATCAACTCATATGCAAAACAATGAAATAAGACCTGATGAGAAACTAAGTACCTCATATGCATCACCTTTCCAGGATTTGAGAGTACTGATTAAAATTGGAGCCAATTTGCATCAATTGAGAAAATGGAACAGTGGACAATTTCTTCCAGAGTTCCCCGACTTCTACTCTAAGAGCATATTGATGTTTTATGAAAGAGGTCAGAAAAGTTTTGAAAGGGGTTAAATAAAAAACAATTTTGGAAAGAAGGGTTGGCCAATATTTTTCCAGAGTAATTTAAAATGGATTTGCAGATATCAAAATTCTTGACAGCAGTTCTTTCCACCAAGGAGTGCACAACTAGTTAATATGACGTTAGGGGGTCATAACTCTCTCAAATTAGGGAACATATTCATAGTTAAAATCCCCATTATAAAACCGCAAACACTTTTACTGCAGGTCATCCTTTTATTTTTAGAATAAACGACATAAGGACTGCAGCACATTGCCTGTGTTGGCTTAAAACTGTACTGTAAAAACATGGAATCTGTTCGAGGAAAGCTAATCTAACAACACTAACACCACATGTTGACAATTACTTGATGAAACAACAAAGAAAAGAACATGTCAATTGTGGCCATATGGGAGCCAAATCTCTCCAAAACTGATATTAAGACATAAAAAAATATTTTTTTCTACAGTGATATTAGTGAACCTTCCAGAACTCAAAGTGCTGAGTTTAAGTTATATTGTTTTGTTGCTCTTCTTAACAAAGCTCCTTTTAAAGCTTTTCCATGCTGCTCTTAACCAGCCTGCCTGCCGGAGACACCTTTGAGACTGACATTTTTTGCAGTGCTAGAATGGGGAAGAGAGAGTGCAGGCAGGGAGGAAAATGGATATCTGTACCTATTAGCTCCAGAGCTGAGGTCTCAGATCCCAGGAGGATCTCTTAACACAATGTTCTACAAACTGATGTTCCTAGAGGTCAGGCAGGGTTATCTGCACCGTCGAGGAATGAGACATACATCATCTGTCACCCAGAAAGGTTCTGATCCAAAATGTGTTTTTTTCAATGTGTTTTTTGTCACTTCACTGTTCATAATAACAGAAAACTTTCACAGAGATTGATGTTTTCATCTGCCTTCTCTTCTGCCATGCATGTCTTTATTTTCCCAAGCATCTTTAAAATGTTTTCTAGGCCAGTACTTATTTCTTTTTCAGTTTATTCCACAGATTTTCCTTAGTTGTATTTAGTTTGTTCCATGTAATCTATTAAAGCTTTTCTCTTAAACTAATTCCCTAAATGAATTAAGAAAATATATAACATTGCTTTACTATTTGAACATATTTAGCATATATTTCTATTGCTCTGTAAATTCTGCAATTGTTATGATAATTCAACCCTGTGATACAAGAAGGCCAATAGCAGATGGTCACTCTTAATGAGCCTGGTTCTGCTGG